TAATGCTTTTAAACCTGAGATTTTCCTGTTCCACCCATACCTCCCAGATATATTTTAAGTTGCTCACTTTCTTTCATAGTTGCATGGTTGGCCACAATTCAGAATGCTCTTTCCTGCTCTTCATTCAAACTAAATGTTTGGGCAATGTCATCTATCATTTTCTGTTCTTCTTCTTTCTTGGCTTTGAATTTTTTGTCCAAGTAGCTGATATCATCTACAACCACTTCATTTTGTGATGTCCCATTTCTTTCTTTATCTGCTTTAGCTGCTGGAAGGTTCTTTGAATGTGTTTCAAGAAAGAGTTTCTTTAGCGACTGTACAAGAACATTCCACTGAGATCCAGTTCATTCTTCTTCTAGCTTGAAGTTTACATCCACTGGATCAATATTGCCAATGCATGGATCAAGCCATCCTGCATTTTGAACCACATTCTCAATTCTGTTCATTTCATGAAGCTTCTGATTATTGATGCTATTGGGGTCTCCCAACATATACAGTGATTCATCAATATCCAATGGACCATCTTCACCAAAGTCAGGAAAGTTAGCATCAAGTTCACCCCCGGTGTCATCCCATGAGCTTAGTATTCCTTCTCTTTCACCTTTCTTCTTCATCTGTGCAGAATAGTCATCTCTGGCATCATTACATTCATACTTGATATTGAAATTATTCATAAGCTCAAGTTGTCTTGCTGAAAATGCATAGCCACAAAAAGCTTCATCCCAAGACTCATCTTCTACTTTCAAATCTTTGCCATTTTGCCAAGGTTTGAACAAAGAAAGCATAGTAGAACAGTAATATTCTCTGTCACCTTGATCACGGCGAGGTAAGCCTCTGCCAACAAAATTTGGTATAAGAGCATTCTCCTCATCAAAAACAACTACCTTGTGTGTACAATGTTGAGGGTGATCAGGTAGAAACTCTTGACTATCAGGTTCGTCATCGTAAAAAATTTCATAGTTAAGTTCATCATCAGAATCTTCACCAAGCAATTCATCTCCTATATCACATGTAGTTGCTCCACTGCCCAAGAAATTGAGTTCATCTTCTCCTTCGGTAACTGATTCATCATCAACTTCATTTTCATTTTTGTCATAGTGAGCATCGAATTCCTGCTGCTCCTCTTTTGTGTGTTTCTCTTTTTTTGCTTTTCTTATCCAGTCATATAAAGACATCTTCTCATAAGCAATAGGATGGTAAATATAATCACGAGCCTCTCTTACAAAATTTTTCCAATAGAAAAGAGTGAACTTGTGACTTGTATAGTGGTCAGGGTTTCCCAGCAGATAGAGAGAAGCCATAGGACTTCCTATTTCCATCCTAGCAGTTAATGCATTCACCATTTTTGTCATCAATCAACGAGCAGTATTTTGCCTGTCATCATTACCTCCAATCATTTCAGAGTTTCTGTTAAACACTTGACGAACAGCATCAAAAGCTGTATATGAATTTAAGCCAGTTTTTGTTACATATTCAGTGATATATCCAACAACCGCCTTTATTGCTGTACTTGACATCAAGCTAGTAGTATCTGTGTTGCAGCGAAGAAGATATGTTAGCTCAGGTGTGAATGTATTGAGCCACATTTCACCCTTCTTTATTTTCAATGCACCGCTCAGCGGATCAACCATTGTCTCCTCTACAATCTCACGTGGAAAGCGTGCCTTACATTGGCCTTGTGCATTTAGACACCCTTTCCGCTTCACTTTTGTAGGGTCTTCCCCATCTATCTCAGGTCTGCGGCACCCATGATGATTTGATCTAGATAAAATATCATCTGTTGTTGCATGAAAATTACCCCACCATACTTTAAGATTAGTGCATCTTAAACATTTGTTGCACCCTCTATTCTGCAGAGAGGAGGTGGAGGTATAGGCATA